ACGCGCCTCGCGTCGCTGCGGACCACGCCCCCGCCCGACCTGGGGTCAACCAAGAGGCGGCCAGCCATTCACGTCGATCCTCGCCGTCGCGCATCATGGAGTACTATTTATGTTTCTCGGCGAAATCTTTCTTGAGGATGGTGTTCATGGAGCTGAAGGCCCGCTGGCGATGGCCCATCTCCACGCCAAGTATGCCCCGCGCGTTGAGCTGCGCGCCCTCCTCGAGGATCAGAGCCTTGGGCTCCTCGCTAGGAGCTGAACGCCGGTCGACCCTGCGCATAGGCGGCGCGATCGCAAGCTCGCCACTGCTGACCGCCAGGAACCCACGAGCCTGCCTGGGCCCAAATGGCCACGGTTGATTGTACTTGGGATGGCAAGCGTGCAATCGAGAAACAAGGAGGTCTCCTTGCGGGATTCGTGCTCCTCGGGCCCCGACAGTAGTAAACTTCTCCAGTGCGCGCCGTCGAGGGCCGCGTCGCCCAGCGGGCGCAGCGGGGCGATGGCCCCCTCAACTACCTGAGGAGCCAGACAGCAATCCAGAAAAGCAACGCTGCGGCGCGGTTCAACCTGTGGGCCGAGATAGGGCCTTGGGGAAGGTCTCGAACCAGAAGTGAGCAAGCAGAATACGATCGATCTGCAAACGAAAATGGCAACAGTCGAGGAGGCATGCAAGGAGTACAAGTGGACTGTCTTGGCTGATTTCGGCAAGGCCAAGGGGATATCCTGAGCTCTCGAGGCCTCGTGAAGGCTGGTGCGTCGGTCCCACATCCTGCCGCTTTTGGCAGATAGCGCGTGCAGTCCAGTAGGTGATTCTCAGAACCGTGAATGTGAACTTTTAGATGCATTGTTCGTTCTTTCCCGCTCCAAGGCACTCGCAGCACGACGTGGCGAATGGCGCGGACGCTGACTCGACCTCCCAGGTTCCCCGAATAGCTGACTCGTTCTCTGACGAGGCATGCCCGCGTTGCAGAGTAAAAAGCAACGGCTAACTCACGATACTTAAACCGATATGGCGTTTACAATGAACATCGAAACGTTGCCCAACGCCTAAAATGAACGTTGAACACGCAGATTGTGCCAAACAAAAGCAGACGACAAACCGTGGCGGTTAAAACAAGAGACAACGAACTGACACCATAACGAACAACTAAACCAACAACAAAAACAAAGGCCCACGCCACACGACACAACGTTGTTGCCGACCCTTGCAATTACAGTTGCCATCGTCATCGTAAACATCGCCATGATCGCAGTAGTCGCCAACACTATGAAGACGACCACCGTCACCATATGGCCATAGCAATAAAACATATCAGCATCGGCATCCTATTTGTATCACATCAACATCATACCATAGTCAACGAACCAAAACGTCACTATTTGCATCCAGCCGTCATTCCCCAAGACCTGATACGAAGAGCGGAGAGCTGCACCCCCCTCCCCTAGAAAAAAGAGAGATCATATAGACGCACTAAGGTCAACATCGTCGTAGCCATGCTGGCCCACGCGTATCCACCCAGCATGCGTTCGTCAACGTGCGAGCGCAAGTCACGCCGTTGCTCCAATTATTCCATGTTGCATTGGTTATTGCGCCAGCTTGCCGATGGGCCGCCGGAGGTATGGCCCGATTTGGAAAAGGTATTCGCCAGTCGCTTGGGGTAGACTCTTCTGGGCGCGGCGGGGGATGTAGCGCGGCTGGAGCTTGCGGATCAGATGGGGAGTTTTGCAGTGAAGCGATTCACGCAGGGGCAGTTGTCTGCGAAGAACGTAGAACAAGTTCGGGCTTTATCAGGGCCCGCTGTGTCTTCGCAGCGAGATCATATCGCGACTTCGTCGTGGTTCGGCGATGCCTGAGGTGTACGAGGCCGACATCGACACGTGGGATTGCAGTTTCCAGTGCAGAGCTCACTGCAGAGTTTATGTTTTGATGCCTTACGAGATGTTCGATGCCTTGGCTGAGGGCCCGTCAACTTGGACGGACTTTCCAGAAGGTGCGACCCTTTCCAAGACTATGTCTGAATGGCCAGCCAGGGTGGACGCTGGCAATCCTGATGACGTCGTCGCATGTGGAGTGCGGGGCGACGAAGCGCCTTTTTCGAGAAATGACAAACTGCTAATGGTCCTGTGGAGCCCGTTGAATACGCGTGGAGAAAGAACTAGATATTGGATGGTAGTAGTGCCAGCTCCTTTGCACTGCAACTGTGGGTGCAAAGGCCGATGCGCGTTCGACATCACTTGGAGAGTTGTAGCCTGGTCGTTTCAAGTGTGGCTCAGTGGGCGTTACCCCGCGACTCGGCACGACGGAGTTCCTTCTTCGCAGTCTTCACATGGAGGTGACGTCCAGCGGGCTCAAGCAGCAGCCCAAATGCAGATGATCGGACGAACATTCAGGGCAGGTTTGATTGGGATCGGCTAAAAGAAGTGATTGGTCTTCGAGGCTGGCAGGGCGGCGGTCCTACAAAGCAGATGTGCTTCAGGTGCGGCGCGCGCCCTTTCGGAGATTCCAGGCCGCGTGCCAAATGGAGAGCCACTGGCAAAACTCATTCGCAACACATGATCGATCTGCTGACTAACGTTATCTATTGGTCTATGTTTTGGAGCTTGCTAGGCTTCCAGCTGAAATGCGTCGTATTGGACGCCAGGCACGTATGGGGTTTGGGGGTGACACAATATTTCAGCGGCAACCTTTTGTATGGAGCTGTTCAAACAAATTGGTGGGGACGCAAAGCATCCAGATGCAATTCTGGCAGAGATGGCGACGTTTATCATATCGACCAGCCAAAAATCTGAAGTGCCCGAAGCTTCCTTTCAATAAGCTCACGATGCACATGATGAAACAAAAGAAAATGCCCGCCTATAGGCTAAACTTGATAGCGTCAGACAGCCGCTTGATGGTTGGAGTCCTCCACTGGATCTTCGTGAACTTCTTCCCCGCGACATCGGATTACCAACGTCTGCGATTTCACGGCCTGGATGCTCTACATAATTTCTATAAGGACCTGCTTCGGTGCAAAGATGCAGACGAAGATGCACAATTTATGGGTGCACAACTTGGCAGGTACGTTCGGCAGCATGTCGCGTTGTATTGTCAGCTTTCCGAGCACGAAGACCGCCCCAGAGGATGCGACGCATATCGCGCGCATCCGAAGCATCATTTGTTTACCCATCTCGCTGAAGAGGACTACTTTGTCCACGGGAACCCGCGGGAAAATTGAAACTACAACGACGAATATTTGATTGGTTACTGCGTGGAATCAGTTTCGGACAGCGCCCAAAATCAGCAATTGAGAAATACAGGTTTTAACCAGTTGCAGACAGCAGGCGGAGGCGGGCCGAGCAACTGAGCTAAAGAAGGGTTTACCGCTTTTTTCTTTTGCTCATTCTCCCTACTCCCCCTCGGTTCACCCTCCATTTCCTCCACTGCTGACTCTCTCCCTTAACTTCCCCTCCCCTTGCTCTCACTCCCTCGCCCCTTCTTCCCTTTACCTCTCTCCCTCTCTCTCTCTTTCGCTTTCCCCGTCTTCCTCCTCAGAGGCTTTCGCCCTGCCGAAGGCTTCGCTAGTCCGCCGCTTCGGTTGGGCGTCTGGGGCCACAAGGGGCCTGGTGGTTCGCAAGAGCCATCCGACGGGGTCTGGGCCCAGTGACCCAAGGGCCTACGTAGCTCCTTGGACTGACCACAGTTTCCTATCCGGTCCCAAGGACCGCACAGGCTGTCCCCCGAAGACCCACATGGGGCCCTACGGCGAGCGCGTGCGAGTTCTGGTTGTGAGGACGGATCACGCGAAACGCCCATAGTAGACGACATGCTCGTTCACTTGTGGATCGTGATGTGACCTCTTCTATCGTGCGAGCATTTTTTGTTTTATAATAAAAAAAGTGATTCCTGACATTACCCGGAAACCATAAAAGCTTTCGGAGGACTTCAGAAACCCCAGAGGATCCTCCTAAGTTTAAAAGAGCAGTGCGCTGGGCAGGGATCATTTCCAACGCTGCGCCGGGCGCGCTGGGCGCGTCTCGACCCGGCGCCCTCGCTCGAGAGATCCTTGCGAAATCGCCCCACGGGCCCCCAGCGCACCCCCGGGACATCCGCGCAATGCCACGCGGGCCCCCACCGCACCTCCAGGAATTATTTCTGGTGCTGCGCCGGGCGCACCGGGCGCGCCAGGCGTGTCCCAACCCAGCGTCCTCGCTCGAGACATCCGTGCAAAATCGCCCCACGGGCCCATTTCCAGCGCTGCGCCGGGCGCGCCGGGCGCGCCGGGCGTGTCCCTACCCGGCGCCCTCGCTCGAGACATCCGTGCAAAATCGCCACACGGGCCCCCGGCGCGCCCCCGCGGACCATTTCCCGCGCTCCACCGGGCGCGCCGGGCGTGTCCCAATCCAGCGCCCTTGCTCGGGACATCCTCGCAAAATCGCCCCGCGCGGGCCCCCATGCGCACCCCCGCGGACCATATCCGGCGCTGCACCAGGCGCGTCGGGCGTGTCCCAATCCAGCGCCCTTGCTCGAGACATCCGTGCAAAATCGCCACGCGGGCCCCTGGCGCAACCCCTGGGAACCCCAGGTGAGCCCCGCCCTCCCGATCCTCACCCTCCCTGATCTTCATTCTCCTCGCCCTCGCTCTCCCGATCCTCGCCCGCTCATTATCGCCATCGTCATCGAACACAGGCTCGCGCGCCTTTTCTCTATATGCAGAAACTCCCGATTAACCGCAGAGCGGCCAGCTAGTATTCATAGTGTGTAACTGTGGAGGCGCAAGGGAGGAGGATGAGGAGGGAGGGAGGAGGGGGAGAGGAGGAGGAGGAGGAGGAAGAGGAGGATGAGGAGGAGGAGGAGGAGGGAGAGGAGGAGGAGGATGAGGCCAGGCCAGTGGAACAGCTTCACGAAGGGGGGCCAGAACTCGTACAGGTTCTCGGCGCTCGTGGGTCCGCCACCCAGGCCGCGAGCCGGCCCCGTGCTGGTCGCGAGTGGCAAACGCTGCAATTCCAATGCGTGGCTGGGGATGTGCAATCCTGATCCTCGCCCTTGCATGGGGATGATTCTTGCGAGGTGCGCGGACCCTTCAATCCTCCCGTCGGAAATAGATCACGACTAGTTTTTTTGAACGTTTTCGCCCACCCAGGGACTTTCAACGGGCCCCAGGACCGTCAAGAACCGGCCTAGGGTGAGAAACTGGTCCAGGGAATGTCTCCCGACCTCTCGGGGTCGACGTTGCGAACAAATCGCGACGTCGGATGTCTGGGGAGGCGATCGATACCGATGCCCTTTCCAACTGTTCTCGCTTTGTGGACCTTCGGGGCGGGCCCTCATCGCCGCAGCTGAATTCGCCTAAGAATCCTGGTCAGGTCGCGGCCCGGGAGGGGTCTGGGACGCATCAGTATCGACATGTCTGATGCTCTCCCAGGTGCGATTGCAGTCATGAGTATTTCAACCATGCTGGGGGCGGCGACGGTAACTGTGGATGCGTCACCGCGCTTGACGCGCGGTGCGCCGAGGCCGGCGCGCAGTCCAGCGCTGGAACTGTTCGCATCTACATGGTGCAGGCGGACACCATGAACGCGTCTGCGACAGCGGAGCCCGAGCCAGAGCCGGAGCCAGAGCCCGTCTCGCTGTCGCAGATCCAGAGCGCGCAGTACGCAGTGGTCCTGAGCCCTCATTTCCACACCCTTGGTGAGGTGCTGCCAGAGGGTCCTAGGTCGCCGCTCGGAGACCATGGCATCGCCACGTCCAGCAGCGCGGGCTATTAGGCAATGGTTGTCCTCTACCTCTTCGGAGGCGTCGACTCCTTCAATATGCTCGTGCCGCTGTAATGCGCCCTCTACGACCAGTGCGTGTCGATCCGCAAGACTGTGGCCTTGCAGCCGTCCCAGCTGTTGGAGATCAACTCCGATGGGCAGGCTTGCACCACCTTTGGTATCGACAGCCAGCTCACCATCGTCGAGGAGCTTTGCGACGACGGCGATGCGGCCTTCGTGACCAACGTGGGTAACTTGAACGAGCCGCGACTTCGCCATCCGAGCGCCCGGGCGTGCCCCCGAGGGTTCTCGCGCAGTGACATGCAGCACGCGATGCAGACGCTCTATTGCCAGATGGGCATGAACTTCAAGAATGGAGGGGGAGGCAGGATGGCCGATGCCCTGGCAGCAAGTCAGATTAGCTATAATGTAAACTCGTTCTCTCTGTCGGGGCAGGCCGCGTGGTCCTAAGGCCAGGTCGCCGAGCGTAGCGTCATCTCAGGAACGCAGACCGAAGGCGGTTTTCATCCAGACCCGCGGGTCCAGCGCATCATCATCACTTTTAGCACGGTTGAGTTTTCCAGCATCTACGCGAAGGAGTATATCAACGCTTTCGGCGAGAGTGTGAATTCCTTTTTAACGGAATTCAAGAGGCGCTCGAGAGTGGAGATAGCTTGTTGCAGATCCCCGCTAACAATTTTGGGGGAATGGAGGAGTTGAAGCAAGTGGCCCGCCTCATCGCGGCTCGGACCAGCCGCTTCGCCGAGCGGGATTTCTTCTTTGTCGGTTTCGGTGGCTTCGACATGCACTCCAACCTGGAGGTCTGGCTGTTCTCGAGGTTTGGGACGATGGACATGGGCATCAGAGCGTCTGTAAACGAGATGAAAGGCCAGGGAATTTGGGAGAACGTCTTGCTTGCAACCCAATCCGATTTTGCGCGAACTTTGGATCCTAATGCAAACATGGGTACTGACCACGCTTGGGCTGGCAATCATTTCATCTTGTCGGGTGCAGTGAATGGTGGCAGGATCTACAATCAGTTCCCGGAATCGCTCGCTGCTGGCAACCCTGCAGATCTTGGTCGCGGCCGGCTCATTCCGAAGTACCCCTATGAGAGCTATATAGTACCTATTGCCATGTGGCTTGGTGTTGAGGGCGGGCACCTTGGAACCGTCTTCCCAAACCTCCCAAACTTTAACAGCTCGTTCATCATCCCTCAGCTGAATCTCATGAGCATTTGAGGGTGACGTGCAAGCGTGCAGCTGGTGACCGTGGGCAGAAGCAGATGAGCGGATGACCGTGGGATAAGTTTCGTGCATATGTGTTCGATATACTTACCAACTTCGCGTGCCTCCCTTTAATTAGTACCGGGAGCTGTTTTTACACTTAGACTCCGGAGCCTTTCTGGGCAAGGCCCGCGGCCTGGGGAATACCTCCCAAGGCGCTTGTCGCCATTGCAGCATTTTTCATTGCAGAGATGCCGCGTTGGCGCAGGGCACGAGACCCTGCGCCTCAGCGACGGAGAGGGGTCGAGGCTCCACGCAGGGCACGAGGCCCTCTGCCAAAGGCCGCATGCTTTTCATGTTTAGTTTTGCGCCCCAGCTGGGCCCACTGGTGGGATCAGATCGGTCTGCCCTGCGCTCTTACCTGCATGAGTTTGTACAGCACGCAGGGTTCGTGCTCTGGTCTTCTTTGCGCTGATGTTGGATGAGCAGCGATGGGCAACGGCCTGCGCTTTTGGCGCTTGGCTTCGTGAGCTCATCAACGCAATAACGAGCGTGCAAATCTATAATGTAATATAATGTAATCAAGTACGCCGGCCCCCCTCCCAGGGCGTTCCCCGCCTCGGTCACCTCTCGTGTGCGCTCCCGGCACCGCGCTTCCCTGTCTCCTGGGGAGCCCCCACGATGCCCAAAGACAGAGGAGGAGGAGGAGGAGGAGGAGGAGGAGGAGGAGGAGGAGGAGGAGGAGGAGGAGGAGGAGGAGGAGGAGGAGGAGGAGGAGCCCAAGACGACCCCAAGAAGCTCCATCAGCATGCAAGAATTGCCCGATACGCTCCCGAGCAATCCCAGGACAGCTTCCGGGCGGCTCTCCAGGCTCCGACCCCAGGAGATTTCCGAGAGGCCTCCCGAGAGCGCCCGATTTTCCCCCAAACTCATGAACTTCAATCGTTTTTTAAGGTTTTTTTTGGCCTTGGCCAAAAATCATGCCTCCGATGCTCCAAGACGGCCGAAGAGGCCCCCAAGACCGCCCAAGATGCTCCCGAGACGGCCCCAGGACGGGCCAAGGCGGCCCCAAGACTGCCGAGGAGGCGCCCCGGACAGCTTCAGACCACTCCAGAACAGGCCCAATATGAGCCCAAGAGCGGGGGCAGGATGCCGCCAGAGGCCTCCGAGTGGACTACGGGACCCCCCAGAGGCCTCCAACACACCCCAAATCCTTGCGAGGCCCCCCAAAAAGCTTCGATGAGGCCCCCAAAACAGCCCATGAGAGCTTCGAGAGCCGCCCCGAGAGAGCCCGAAGAGGGTCAAACATGGATTTTCAGAGGTTAGTGTCGACTTTTTTTCGCCTTCTCACGATTTCCGGCTTCCAACGCTCCAAGACCGAGGAATTCGAGAAAACTAAGGAACCTTGCATATATATATATATATATATATACACATATTATTGTTTTTCGAATTCAGCAAATGCGCGCCCCCTCCTCCTGTTTCTTTTTTTAAATATTTTCGAATTCAGCAAATGCGCACCCCCTCCTCCTGGGGGTCCCGCACCTTCACGGAACATTTGCGGAACGCTCGCGGTGCCGCGCTTCCCGACCTCCGGGGGAGCCCCCAAAACGCCCAAGGACAGCCCAAGACGATCCCAAGAAACCCCCGGAACGTCAAAGAAAGGCCCAGAACGCTCCCAAGCAACCCAGGATAGCTTTCGGGCGGCTCTCCAGGCCCCCAGGAGCTCCGAGAGGCCTACCGAGAGCGCCCGGAGAACCTAGAATCGTTTATTTTCATGGTTTTTTGTAAAAGGTTTTTTGGTCCTGTCAACATTCCATGCTTCCAGCGCTCCAAGACGGCCGAAGAGGCCGCCAAGACAGCCCCGAGACCGCCCAAGAGGCCCCCAAGACGGCCCCAAGGCGGGCCAAGACGGCCCTACGACTGCCGGAGAGGCGCCCTGGACAGCTCACGACCACCCTCGAGCAGGCCCAAGATGAGCCCAAGAGCGGGAGCAGCAGGCCGCCAGAGACCTCCGAGAGGACTCCGGGATCCCGCAGAGGCCCCCAACACACCCCAGATCCCTGCGAGGCCCCCAAAAATCCCCGACGAGGCCCCCGAAACAGCCCAAGAGAGCGAGAGAGCCCGAAGAGGGTAAAAACGTTGCTTTCCAATGGTTCTTGGTGACGCTTTTCGCCCTCTGCGGCATCTGGACCCTCTCTGGTTATCGTCGCTGCGTCCCCGCCTTCGGCGCTGCCCGCCAGCGCTGGCGCCGGCGCCGGCGCCGCTGGGGCGGGTTCGGGGAGGGGGGGCATCGGGGAGGGGAGGGGTTAGGGGGAAGGGAGCCCCTTTGGTTTTGATTGACGGCGCCGAATGTTAAGGGGGGGGGACCCCCCCCACGTTTCGAAACGCGCCGAATGTTCCCGAGGCGAGCGCCTGTGAAACGCGCTCTGTCCGCCCGAAGGGTCGCTGGGGAAGTCATAGGAGGTTTCCCAGAAGGCTCGCTTCGGAGTCATACGGAGCTATGTTGTGTATTGTCTGTAGTCAGAGATGGCTCCATGAGTCCATGAGCCACATGAGGTATCCTAGCTCCTTCGTCACTCCTTACGCCCTCGCTCCTCGCCTTTTCCAGTGTATCCTCTCTCCTCACTTCTTCATCGCTGCTGCTCCATCCCGCCTCCCGTCTTCCCTTTCCTGCGTCCCTCCTTTTTCCTTAAGATGGCACGCGAGACTCCTAATAAGCCTTACGTGTGGAGTCGCTCTTTCCATGGTCCGAACTAAGTGTCAGACCGTCGGTTCCTTCTGCGTGCCCCGTGCATCTCTGGGCGCTGCTGCGACTAAGGGCGGGCAGCGCGACACGTGCATCGTGGAGCGAGATGCCTTACTTGTTCAGTCGGGTCTTTTTCTGTCCAGCGCGCGATATGCAGCCGCAATCCCCAACCTGGGCAACAACGAGCCCCGATCCGGGATGTAGTTGCAGCCGCACCCGACCTTATGTAGCTATACGACCGACCTTCGGGTGATAAAGAGGTTGTGGGGGGGGTGAGGAACCAACGTCTCGCTCAATCGATGCCGCTATCGATCTCAGTCAATCGATTTCATACAATCGATCTCGTGCAATCGATCTCACGCAATCGGTCTCACAATCGATCTCAGTGTGGATCTCACAATCGATTCTACAATCGATCTCACTGCGGGCCTCACTGTCGATCTCACTATCGGCCTCGTTGTCCATCCCACGATCTGTCTCACTGTCGATGCCACTATCAATATCATTGTCGATCTCGCTCAACCGATCGCACTATCGATGTCACTACCGATCTCTCTGCCGATCTCAGAACCGATCGCAATCGATCTCACGATTGATATCACCATTGAAACATTAAGATCCCTTATATCGATTTCGCGATCGATCTCACGATCAAGCTCACTGTCGGTTCTGACTATCGATACCACTATCGACCACAATCGACCTCACGATCGATCTCACTGTCGATCTCATGACTGATCTCACTCAAGCGATCTCACGATCGATCTCAGTGCCGCTCTCACTATCGATCCCACGATCGATCTGAGGCTCTCTTGAGCTGTGTTGGCGCTCTGTCTGGGCTCTCTTGGGCCATCTCGAAGCGCTCCGGAGGCTCTGGAAGCCCAGCGGTTGCGTTGAGGAGCTCGTCTCCCCCCCTGAACCCACCCCCCTGGGGAAGGGGCAGGGAGTGGGACAGCCAAATGACCCGCGCGCAATATCACCCCTGGCAGACGAGGGTCGGCGCACTCCTCCACCCTAGCTCGTCATTCCTGTCCCCTTCCCTCTCCCGCCCCTCTCCAAAAATCAAAGACACAGAACACAAAGCAGCAGGGTAACAGCGCAAATCCAGTTTTCTCGTAGATGTTCCAAGGCCCATGCTCTGCATTCTTGGGTACAGGGGGGGGGGCAGAGCGCGTGTCACATCCGTGGCGTTCCACATAAGCTGCGTCAGCGTGCGACCGCCTGCGACTGCGCGCGGCTGCCATTTCTAGCAGAGGCGTCGCCGCGGTTCGGACATCGCAGCCCTTCGCAGCGACTTCAACTGCGCCCACGGACCAAGGTTGGGAGGTACAGACAAAAACCCTAAGAAGGACGCGCGACTTTTCTCAGGGTACCCTTGCGTCCTTGCTCTTCCTTGCTCTTGCGTCCTTGAGGTTTTCGTCGTCCGCCGCCCCAAAATTCCAATTTCGGCTTCCAAGGGTCTTGCGTCCTTACCGCGCGTTCTTAATTAGGGTTTTTGACTGTACGGCTCGCGTCCACGAACGGGCCGCAGCCCCGATAAAGCAAATGCCTGAGCCCTTGTTGCAGACCGTCATTAAACCCGCCCGCGGCAGTTTCCAAATAGAACAGAGGAAGGGCTGTGGGACATGCAGGAGGAAGAGGGAGGACCCAGGGAAGGGGGCTGGAGGGAATGTCCCACTCGTTTGGGCGGATGCCGCTTGGCCAAACGCAATGCTGTCTTGGGTGTGGCTGCTCTGCCAGACGGATCGGTCGCGTGGCCGGCGCCCCAGGCGACCCTGAAGTTGTCGTCAGTTTTCGGGGAAATCCGCTTCCAAAAAGTGGTTCTTGCGTTTCCGCGGGAAGATTTTGGTTTTCCATGACATAGAGTTGTCAAGTTTACGTGCGACATGAGTGTTCCAGGGCTGACGAACCTTTTGTCAGGCTGTGTTGTGTGAGTTTTGTTTGTTTTTTTCCCGCAACATGAACGTTTGGTTGTCTGGCTTCGGAGAAAAAACAAGTGGGCGCTGCAGTTTGGCTCATGAAGCCTTCCCGAGGCAGGTTTGAGGAGGTTATTTAGCGGGGCTCTTCCAACAAAAACCGTCCCGCGGAAGGTTTCAGGAAGGTTTCTCTGAAGGGGGTATAGGAAAATTGTTTGGAAGGCATACAGGGAGGTTCTACCAACGAGCCTTTCTGCGGGAGGTTGTCGGAAGGTTTCTAGGGGAGTTCTTCCCACGTGGATTTCCCGATTGCGTTTTTCGGGTTCTATATATATATGTACGGGAAAGCC